GGGGAAGTCCCCGTGGTGGGGCCTGGGGCTTGAGCGCGTTAAAAAGGAGGGAAACAACTGGTTGGTTTTGCGCCTTCTCTGTTAAAGAGCCGCGGTTTTGTGGGGAGGAGGTCGCTTGCTGTGGTGAGCCGAGGTGCGTGAGTTTCTGTGGGCAAAAATAGCCTAACTGTGGGAGTAGGGGGGAAACGGGACAAGAGAGGGGGCTGACCTGACTGTGCTTGTGAACAGCAAGACGATGAGGATGGGGAGGGGGAAGATGATGCCGAAGTCCAGCAAGAATGCCTGAAGAAATTTTCGACCCCTGACTATATAATGGAGCCGTCTATATTTAACACGTTAAAGAGGTGAGTGTAGCCTTGTATGTGTTGCAATGGATGTTATGTGTGTTACAGGTGCAGTGTAGTCACTTTGTATGGAAGTTTGTGTGAAAACTCATAAATGATGCTATTGTTCTTCCTTTATTTAGAGTTCAGTTGGTTTTGGTTTTTAATATCGCACTCAACTAGTTCTTTTGTAATCCTTTCATCAGATATTTCCAAGCAGGAGGCTCTCCAGAGAATGTTATCCAGCTCCTCTCTGAAAACTACACTGCAGTGGCCCAGACTGTAAATTTGCTGGCAGAGTGGCTCATTCAGACAGGTATGATCAGTGATTGATACACTGTAATTTGGGTCTGCAGTCTTTATTTTGTCAGAAATACTTGAATCGGTGGCAAATTTGATCATACTCAGGAAGTGGGTTATTGTGAAGTTGACATCCTGTATGTGCGTATGACTAGATTCTTTATAATAATATGTTTATTCTGCACAGGGAATAAGTAATATGTGGAGGAATACTTTGAAATGCTCACAAACTGTATGATCAAGGGTAGTACAGTTGAAGCAGCTGCATAAACTATATTTAGTTTTTATAGTCAAAGGTACTGTTATGTAGATGGTCTTATCAATATTTCATCGTTTGTAAGAGTACTATATAAATAACTGAACAACTACCCTCTTGCTAGTTACTGTCTTTCAGCAGATCAGTGGTTAGATGGAAGGCTGTCATACAATACAGAATTCCTAAGAAAATACAGGCATCTGTGTTACCCATCTGCTTTTGAATTCTTCAGCAGCCTCTTGAAAGCCATGTTTAGCATTATCTTCTGGTATCTTTGTCCCTTAGTTAGTAAGAACTTTTGTTTACAAATGATTATACCCTGATCTTGGAATTGTAGAACTGCTTATTGCAACTTTTTGTATTCTTTTGTCGTGGACTATCAAAGGTACTGGTAGCAAATAGACTAAAAGGATGGACTTTAGTCAGTAGTAAGGTGGGTTGTGCACCGTCCTGGTAATCCCTTTTGTGATTAAGATACACACATTTTGGTATCATGCCCTGTAACAGTCTTGTGAGATGACTGACATTGCTGTTTGCATGACTGCTGAAGAGGGCAAGAGAAAAGGACTAGTGTGTCCTGCCTGTGATCCTGAACAGTCTGCATTTAGGAAATAAGATGGAGCATCTGTGAGTCTGTATCGGTGTGGCTCAGCAGTAGAACTGATGGCTCTGCTCTCCTCTCTGTGTTGATAAATTTCTGATTAGTTTCTGTCCTCATTGAAAAACTTAAGTGTTGCTGCTGTGTTTGATTGGATTGCGTCTGCTAAGGTTTTTTCTTCCTTCTATACAGGTGTTGAGCCACTGCAAGTTCAGGAGACTGTAGAAAACCACTTAAAGAGCTTACTTATCAAGCATTTTGACCCTCGGAAAGCAGATTCCATCTTTACAGAGGAGGGAGAGGTGCGCATGGAATCCATGTTGCTGTCTCTACATGAGTGAATCCTACTGTGTGCCTTTGGAGTAGTGGATGGTGGGGGAAGGGAAATCATATCTTCAAAGCTCTTTAGTTAAGAAACAACTGGTTTCAGAAAACCAGCAGTATCTCACTGGAGTCTTTAGAGGCTTAGAGAACTTAGGAACTTCGAAGGCATCTTCCTTTGTAATAAAGTTCTTTACAACAACTTGCAGGACTCCTGAAAGGTAAAAGGTTTACTTTTAATGACCTTGACAACTAGAAATCCTTATAGTTCTCTTTATTGCTCTAATCTTTCAGACTCCAGCCTGGCTTGAGCAAATGATAGCACATACTACCTGGAGAGATCTCTTCTACAAGTTGGCAGAAGCCCATCCTGACTGTTTAATGCTTAATTTTACTGTGAAGGTAGTATACTCAAGTCTGATAAATGAAAATATCTGTAAATGGCTGGTTGTTCTGGTATCAGATATTGTCTGTGGTCTTACCTGTATCTTTTATGTATTCCTGCTAATACTACTTATTCAAATGTCAGAACAGTGCAAGTACACATTGGTAAGAGGAATTGTGTTACAGGTTGCAAGTAGTAAGTGTAGTTTCCCAGTTTGTTGTTTGTTTTTTCCCTGTGATCTGTATCTGAGAATTCTGAATTTCTGGTGCAGTATGACACTTCAGTCAGCTTGGTATGTTTCTGTGACAGGGAAGAATGCTACATCTTGCTGTGCTCTGAAATATTTTTGTATCGTTGTGATTTGGCTACATCTTTATTGGTTTCCTTTACTGTAGTGTTAAAGATGAACATGAATTCCCCTAAGTGTATGCAGAGGCAAATTTTACAATTCTGTGTGTTCTTCTAGACTTGTTAGGGTATCCGAAATATAAATGCAAATAATACAAGTTTTTTGTGATGTTCTTGGTTTTATAGCTTATATCTGATGCTGGATACCAAGGGGAAATAACCAGTGTTTCAACAGCGTGTCAGCAACTAGAAGTATTTTCCAGAGTCCTGCGTACATCTCTGGCAACAATTTTAGATGGAGGAGAAGAAAACCTTGAAAAAAACCTCCCTGAGTTTGCTGTAAGTGTTTTGGGATTTGATTGGGGATTCTTTTGGTGTTTTGGGTTTCTTTTTTTCCCATTTTATGTGGGAAGAAAATAGTGTTTTCTGGTTAGGATATACAGATCACTGTGGGATTGTAGAGACTCTTAACGTCAAATCTTCAAAAATCTTATGAAGGGAAGGTATACCTGAGTTTAAAAAAAAAAAATGTTTTTTTTCTCATTTTGTGACCAAGAGTTACTTGGGTTGCTTATGTGACATTTCTCATGTTTATTAAATGGTTAGTAAAAGGTGAAGGTAGAGCTGTTGTCTTCCACATTTAACACAAGATCTAAAGATCACTCTAGTCAGTCCTCTGGCAAATAAAAATAACTCTTTTATGATCCACATCAGTGTGAAAGTTGCCATGTGAATCAGACCGGCTTATGTTCTGTGTACTGAAATTGCACAATGACTTTTGGATGGCTTTGTACTTCTCTTTTTAAATATTGCAAGGAAAGTACTGAGTGTAACTAGGATAGAAGTTCCTCTCAATCTTGGTATTTAAGAAATGAAGCTCTTAATTTAGCCATTTCTTCTTGCATGGCATCAGTGCATAGTGATACTGTGCTTTTCTGTACTCCTTTCTTGGCTGTTGGGTTTTGGGTTTTCTTGTTTAGTTGTTTGTGTTGGTGGGTTTGAGTTTGGTTTTTTGTTGTGGGTTTGTTTGTTGTTTTGTTTTTCTTTAGATTAGTAGATTCTAGTGAAATCTTTGCTATTATGGCACTGTAATCCCAGAAGCATACTTGCATGTTTCCTGTTGAGTGATACGATTCTTGATGTGTGGTTTAACAGAAGATGGTATGCCATGGGGAACACACTTACCTTTTTGCTCAATCTATGATGTCCATATTGGCTCAAGAAGAACAAGGAGGGTCAGCTGTCAGACGGATCGCTCAGGAGGTTCAGCGGTATGCTCATGAGAAGTAAGTGGGAGTTACGTTATATCTATCTATCTATCTATCTATCTATCTATCTATCTATCAATCTATGTGAAATGTAAGTCACCAGGATTTGTAAACTGCTGTGTTTTGCTCATCTTGATTACCTTTTGTCATGGTTTAAGCCCAGCTGGTAACTCAGAACCATGCAGCTGCTCGCTTACCCCTCCACCTTTCCCTCCCAGAGGGATGGGGAAGAGAATTGTAAGAATGTCAGTCCCACAGGTTGAGATAAGAGCAGTCCAGTGACTAAGGTGTAATACAAACCACTGCTGCTACCACCAATGATAATAATGACAAGGGAAATAACAAGGGGAGAGGATATAGAACTAAAAGGGGAAGGGGAAAAATACCAGAACAACAGTAAACACAATACAATTGCTCACCACCCACTGACCGATACCCAGCCTGGCCCGAGCAGCGATCTGGGCCTTCCCCCAGTTTCTATACTGGGCACGACGTGCTGTGGTATGGAATACCCCTTTGGCCAGTTTAGGTCAAGTGTCCTGTCTCTGCTCCCTCCCAGCTTCTTGTGCCCCTCCTCACCGACAGAACATGAGAGACTGACAAGTCCTTGGTCAGGGTAAGCATTACTTAGCAACAACTAAGACATTGGTGTGTTATCAGCATTGATCTCAGACTAAAGCTAAAATGCAGCACTGCACCTGCTACTAAGAAGGAGAAAACCTCTTAACAGCTGAACCCAGGACACCTTTTACCAGCAAAAGGAGAATTCTTAACTGCAACAGAACAATGAATTTGTGAAACAACAGGAAAGTTCAATGACCTGTACTGGGAGACCTGAAATCAGAAAAGCAGAGAACTGAAGATTCTGTCTATTAAAAAAATATGTATCTTTATTCTATGAACACTTTAGAAACAAGCAAGGGAAGCATAGGCCTGTGTCTATGATTACCCAGGATAAGGGGTTCTGCTGTAAGGCATATTACATTCCATAAGATGTTCCCTGTTGATTCAGTGAGGGTAAAATGAAAACATATGAATTATTAAGTTGCTATGTATGTTTGCTCTTCATCTAGAGGCCATGATGCCAGTCAGATCACTTTAGCGTTGGGTACTGCAGCCTCCTATCCTCGAGCTTGTCAGGCTCTTGGTGCTATGTTGTCCAAAGGAGCTCTGAATCCAGCAGACATCACTGTCTTGTTCAAAATGTTTACAAGCATGGACCCACCTCCAGTGGAACTGGTCAGTAGCTATCATCTTGTAACTTCTGAAACGTTCTAGTACAGCAGCACTCAGAAATATGAGGTCTGTGCTAAGTGTTGTATCAACACAAAATAGAAGTTAGTATTCAGGCTCATCCCTCTATAATTTTAATGTCTAAATGTGAAACTACTGCTTGTATTCTATTTTGCAGTAGCCTCTCGATAGCTTGGGGTTTGGCTTTGTTTTTTAATCATTCCAAGTTGTCTTTTTGAATATAATTAAATTAATTAAAGAGCTTTTCAATTAGGAGATGAAGATGGTAAGGAATAAATTAGCTACTAACAAGAAATAAATAATGAAAAAACCCACACCGTTTTGCAGTTTGTTGTAAACAGACTTAAATGGCACATTTCACACTTCTCACTGGCTCCTTCTGATGTGGGTTCTGGTGACAAATGGTGGCATTTAGATACTTGAGCAATATAGTTTGTAACTCTGTTTTTTCTTTCTATTGCTACCCTCCTTTCCACCCCACCCCCCTTTCCCTCCTTCCTTTCTGCCAAAAGTTTGGGTCTCTTTATGAAACTCTGTGACCTGCTCTCAAGGGGGAATGTGTTACATCTCTTTCTGTACAAGGTATATCAGATGCACCTTTTGTAATTCTCAGGCTCTAATAAACCATTCATTTTCTTCACAGATTCGAGTACCTGCCTTTCTGGACCTCTTCATGCAGTCACTGTTTAAGCCAGGTGCCAAGATCAACCAGGACCACAAACATAAATACATTCACATACTGGCATATGCAGCTAGTGTAGTAGAGATGTGGAAGAAGGTAATGTTCAGTTCTGTGAATAATACTTTTTCTGCCTGCAGTGGCCTGACTGTGCTGAAGAACATGTATGGTTGTGAAGTTGCTCGATTTAAGATACTGTATTTGGCTTGATTTATTTATTTTAATAGGAAGTGTTTCTGGCTTCAACTGAAATGACTACAAAAGGTAAATCCTGATGACCAAATAGTACTATAAAAGTCTGAGTGCACTGAGCATTTGTGCTCTTTTCCCTCACCTCCCCCCAGAGGTTATCAGTAGCAGTTTTGTGTTACTGGACTGTATGTGCTTTTTCAGAGGAAGTGGAATTTAATTCTATGAAGTGGATAAAGTAATCCATAGGGAATTAAATAAAGCAACCATCCTTGCGCTTCAGCTCACTGATAATTAGTTCTTCTGAAACTGGGATTTGAGTCTGTGTTTTGAGAAACATGATGTAATCTCATACTTATCACAGTTCCTTTCCTTAAATAACCAGAGTTATCCGGGATATTCACAACTCTTGCATTCAAACTTTCCAATTTTTCAGAATAAGAGAGTCAGTATAAACAAGGATGAACTCAAGTCAACTTCAAAAGCCATTGAAACTGTTCACAACCTGTGTTGCAATGAGAACAAAGGAGCATCAGAGTTGGTTGCAGAACTGAGCACTCTCTATCAGTGCATCAGGTGAGCAGAAATACAGGTCCCAAGCTTTAGCTGTTGGAAGGAAAGTATTCTTAGGAGAGGTTAGGGTTAGGGTACTGCTGAAAGGAATAACCTTTGTGGGCTACTCTGAGAATATCCTTACTGCAGAATATGTGAAGATGTGGTCTGAAAGCAGCTCTCAGAACTGTGCATCTGACTCTTTTGAGTGTCTCTCATGAGGACACAAGTTCTGGCTTTCACTGGCAGCTTGTCGTCCTTGTGTCACAGAACGTGCTTTTCTCTGCCACTGGAAAAAGATGTTGGATTACTTTGTCTTCCAAGTAAAGCTTTCCTAGCAATAGATGTCTTTGCGATTTTTTTTCCTCCTCTTAAAAGTGTGAAATAGCAGCTAATGAATAAACTGAAACAAACTAGGAGTGTACATAAATTTTGTTGCTTATGTTTTGCATTTTGTGCTTAGCAGGGAGTGTCTTTGTAGAAAGAATTTTCTTCCAGGCTATATAATTTCTTTTCCCCCTTTGTGAAAAACTACTTGATGTGCTGGCAACTTTTCAAGCAAAACTTTTTGAGTTTTATGAGTTCTGCTGTAAGTTAAACTGAAATTCTTGCAACCATTAGAATATACTGAAAGATGATTCTATGATTTTAATTTACAGGGAGTTTTGTTTTGTTTTGGGGTCTTTCTGTAGTTGGGTCATTTGTTTTGTTTCATGCTCCTGTTCTAAAGTGATCTCTTTTTTTTTTTTGCAGGTTCCCAGTCGTGGCAATGGGTGTATTAAAGTGGGTGGATTGGACAGTGTCAGAACCACGATACTTCCAGCTGCAGACTGATCACACTCCAGTTCATCTGGCATTATTGGATGAGGTAAAAGTGTACGTAAAACCTTGTTGGAGAGTGAGAACGGTTTTGATTTTGTAACTGGAAGTATGTTCAGTTCATTGAATGTGTAACATTTGTAGTAGGTCAGTAAACATGCAGAGATTAATCTCTTTGTGTTCACAGTTAGTTATTTGGTTTTGTCAGCTCAGCATTATTTAAGATTGGAAAACTTGGACGTCAAAGAAGGAAATGACAGACTACTTTACACCTGCACTGAACATCAGTGGAAACCTTCCTAGTAAAGACTGCTGCATTGGTTTTAAAAATTGAAGTTCTGAGCATCTAACTTCCCTGTCTTGTTTGCAGATCAGTACATGCCATCAGCTACTTCATCCCCAAGTTCTACAACTTCTTGTCAAGCTCTTTGAAACAGAACATTCGCAGCTTGATGTAATGGAGCAGGTAATGATCATATTAGTTACGTTATTCAAGATAATAGCTGTTGCTGTCACAGCAGTTCTAAGAGTTTGATTTAGGAATATGGTCATGGTTAAAACGTAACATAGCAGATAGATAGACAGGGAATCAGTAAGAATGAGCAATAAAAATTGCACTATTTTGGGAGGAAGTTCTAATCTGTTGGTTCTTCCCTCCCCAGCTGGAACTGAAGAAGACTCTCTTGGATAGAATGGTGCACTTACTCAGCCGAGGATATGTCCTACCTGTTGTTAGTTACATCCGCAAATGCCTGGAGAAGCTAGATACAGATATCTCTCTCATCAGATACTTCGTTACGGAGGTTAGTAGCAAAAATTGTATTTACTAACATACAGAAATAAACTTCAGTAGCAGCAAGATACCAGATGGGATTCTGAGTGATACATGTAATATCAGTGTTCACTGGCATGTGACTGAGTCCTGCTGACTTCCGAAAGTATTAAGGTAGTGGATAGAGTACCACAGAATATGTATATAACTACTTGTATGGACAACAAGAAGTTTTACATGCAGCTACTTGTATGCTTGCAAGGCTAGTATTGTGAATTAAATATTGTCCCTACTACCCCTATGGCTGTAAGGATAATCCATTTTTGTCTGCTGCTTCAGATACTTGATGTGATTGCTCCTCCATATACCTCAGACTTTGTACAGCTTTTTCTTCCAATCTTGGAGAATGAAAGTATTGCAGGCACTATTAAAACAGAAGGTGAACATGACCCTGTGACTGAATTTATAGGTAAGTAATATTTATTCCTTGTATACTTGCTTCCTTTTGTGTTCATTGTAACTTGCAAATAATGTTCAGGAGGAGGATTGTTAAAAATAGGAATGCCTGCCAGGTATTTTCACAGATAACTGCCCTTTCAGGGGCCTGTATTTAGTGATTTTCCTTTAATCAGGAATCTCTGGGTAGTAGTGAGGAACTTTGACACAAATACTGCTTTTTGAGAACTAGAACTGTACTAAGGAGAGGATGGGAAGGGAAGTAGTCTGACATATAATACACTCCAATCCTAAACCAAAAACATCTGTCCAGACCCTAAAATCCTAAGTATTTACGTAATGCAGAAATCTGCATGCAAACAAATAAACTAGTGTACTGAACGCTTTCTTCTTTTTTCTTTTCTTTTTCTCTTCTAAGCTCATTGTAAATCTAACTTTATTATGATGAACTAAACAGTGGAAATCTGAAGAACACAGAGCACACGATCACTGTTTTGCCATACCCTCCACCAGAGAGGCTACATAACTGGCCAACAGAGCAGCAAAAAACCCCAAACCAAGGAAGAAGGCTGAAGGGCATTTGATTGACTTGCCTGGTGACCTTGAGCTTCATATCAGAGGACTGTTAATGTACTTTGGCAAATGGAAAAATAGTGAAGGCTTTTCTGTTATAATACAAATCAGTATAAATCTGAATGTTCTGAAAGGAGTAGCAGGAGAAAAACATTATTGCAAAGAATGTTATTTTGGTTACTTGGAGAACTTGTCACTGATTCTTTGTGTAATATACAAAACCTGAAGAATGGCGAAGGAAGCTCCTACTAAAAAAGCTTTGCAGATAGATAGATAGATAGATAGTTTCCTGAAGACTGGATGTTGAATGCTTTAGGCTTTGATGTTGTAAGTGAGTTGTATAGAAGGAATTTGTGTGATTAGCTCTTTCTCACCTTTGCATTATTTAGGATTCTAAATAATCCTACATATTTACTGCTATGGAGTTGTAACAGTCAAGGTTAGTTTTGCATTAACAGATGAACCCTATGTGTGTGTTACCTTTCAGAATCTATTTTTTGTTAAATAGATGCTTCAAATGGTACTGGTAAGTTTCATTACCATGTCAGAATTCTGCTGCTGTCCAGCAATGTGAATGTGTGCAGAAATGTTATTACTGCTTCTTAGGGCTTGTGTTTTATACTTGTCTCTGATCTGTTCTGGTAGATGCCAGACCGTGCAGGGATACACCCAAGACTAAAATTTACCTTTAAATAAAGGGGTTTTTTCTTTTCCAGAGATTTATTTCAAAGTTTTATTAAGGCCATTCTTTCTTTTTGTTCATTGGGCTGGATTTTTCCTTCCACAGCCAAATACAGTTTGTTTAGAAGTGAGGGGTGTAGACAAGCCCATTGTGCTTTTCCCCAAGCACATCTATTTTCTGAAGAACCTGCTTTCTAAAAAGACATGGACACTTTAAGTCCAGCTGGATGGATGCAAGAAGGAAATCACCTTGTTCTGTCTTGTGATTCATGAATGGGAACACTTAAGCTACCACACTACTTCTTGAGACAGCAGCCAGTTGTATAGATTAACTTCTTACAAAAAGGAGTGCATCTTCCAGTTTTCCAACCAGAAATGTCAGTCTACTGGAATATGGCCTAAAACAGCTGGTCTAAAACATGTTTACTGTCGTTATACTAAAAGCTGCACTGTTTGAAACCTAAATGATCAGAATAGCACAATCACCTCAATTTCATCTTAGATACTAACAGTCTTTCTTACTCTTTCATGGGCCTTCACTACTCTACCAAACTTACTTTCTCATTAGGAGCAGACTTCACTTTATCTGTAAGTTGCAGAAACTACCAACTGGAAGGCAGCAGATAGAGTTTTCAGAAAGACTTTTTTTTACTCTCCTCTGCACCACTACAAAGCTTTAACTTACAGGTTTGAGTGAGACATAATTCATAGGCTGTTTTTAATTTATGGTAGGTTTTGAAGATTGACATTTAAAAAGTGGTATTCTACAACATCTGAATGTCTCTTCTCTCTTGTTGAAGTTGGATGCTTCATTGAAACTTGTATCTTACTGTCCACTATATTTGCGCATACGGGAGATTTAAGTTGAATTGTTTGAACAATTATAGTTGCTGTATAGACTGTGCTGTCAAGCAACCCTTTCACAAGAAAAAGCCCGTTGAAAACAGTGCCATCCTCAGTAAGCTACCACATGAGACTACTTATTAGGTACAACCCAATCATCCTTGTATTAGTAAGCTCTTACAATACAGCTATAGTCATGTAAGAAAAAGTCCATTTATTAATGCAATTAGCAATGCCAGTTAGTGACATTTGATATTGTGCTTATTTGCCACTTGGTAACTGGCTGAGTTTTAAGGAAGAGAATTGGAAACCTTTGAATTAGCAGAGTTTTGCACTATGGCAGTATAAACTTTGCCTCTGTAGGACGAGAAGGGCAAAATCAATCTCATATTAAAGAGTTTCAGCAAAGACACTACTAAGTAGTTAAGAAGTGTCTTCTGATCAAAGTAATTCCTGATGCATCATTTTGGTTGCATAAAAGTAACTAACTGCATTACATGAGACTTCCAACACCACTGTTTCACCAGGAGGCCAAGGAAACAACAGGGGATTTAGATCTTTAATATATCATGTCCAGACTTAGCTTTGTGAGCAGCATCAGTGTAAGATATTTGCTCAATACTATCAGAGAATTTAATATAAGGTCTAGACCCAAATATTGAGTATACTTTTTCCTTCCCAGTATGCCTACATAATTTGTAATTGAAAAAAAGGTATTTACATACATAGTTTCTGCACTGAAGTCAGTATGTTTTACTGTGCATCGACACAGACAACTTTCTCATGGGTAAAATGCTTTTAAGTTGTAAATACCTGAAGGCAGCTCTATTTATTTTACTTTGAAGACACTGTGTGTTGCTCTGTGGGCTAATTTTGCAGAACTGCCCAATGGTATTGAACTGTGAAGGAGTTTTAGACTACTATCCTTTAAACAGAAAAAGGTTGTGCTGGGAAGCTTCCAAAGTAGCTCCTGAACACAAAGATGTACGCTATGGAATCAAGGAAGTACAGCATCTCCATATGCACAGTCCTCTTCAATAGCAAGATTGTATTCTGCTCCTCTTCCACCTTTATATGCACTGGTCACAATTCTCAGCCACCCTCTTTCACCCTGTAAAGAATTAATTTACATTGTTAATTAGACAATGTCTGTTCTGTCTTCCAGATATGAATGATTTATAAGTGAATCTAGAAATGCACTCAAGATGAAGTATAACACTGGGTTCACAGGAGCAATCTGCTTGGTGAATTTACACTCCCTCATCTATTCCAGGTGTGACTTAATTTTTGCTTACAACTAACAGTAACTTAAGAGTCTCCCATAACAGGAGCTGCATGTCCACGGAAGAGGGTAGCATTTGGGACCGAGTTGACATTACTCAAGTAACTTTGGCTGAATAGCCTTGTCTTCAAATTAGTTACACCTCGTATTTTAATTGCTAGTCTAGTTCAAAGAAACTTTTACTTTTCCTATCCACAGACTAGCTTTGCAGCTTCCTGTCTGCAACCCCACCTTCCCCCTAAAGTCATTTGTAAACACGTTTGTTCCCATGTTCCCTTACCCAGGGTTCGCCCCAGGAGTTACGAACAACCCAGTATTCTGTTCCATTTTCTACACTCCAGCCAGCCACAGATACAATGTGATTCACCACAGGTGAGGGGTTGTACTCTGTATAAAGTCCTCCACTGTAAGCATCCAGCTTCTCAGTAGCCATTATGCCACAGCTGTAATAAAACAGGGGAAGCAATTTGTTATACAAGGTGATCAGGACAGGGACCTGGCTAAAACCAATTGGTTTTCTTACATTTTCACTTTAGGGCTCAATTTATCTACGAACAAGCTAAAGCCTGCATGTTAGTGCAGAGCTGCTAACATAAACCAGAGCGGAGAAGTACACTTCAGTCACTGGACTGAGCTTCAAGTATTTCAATGCCAATATTACCAGTAGATAAATATTTTTACCATTCAAGATGTATTTTACCTAATTGGTCCATTAGTATAGATTTCTGCCTTCATCTTTTCTCTTCCACTGACAGACCCATAGTCAGCAACTTTCCAGAGAGTGTAGTTCTTTATGACATGGCACTCTCCAAAAGTGACACAAGTGCCACACTGGTTAAACTTCTTACACTCTACAAAACAAAAGCAAGATCATCACTGCAAGAGAATGCTTTTCTTCAAGTGAATTAATTATTATATGACACTAAGCTTTTTTTTTTTAAACTTATTTGAGGCAGATATTAGTAAGAGTAATTACTAATACATACTCTGGTGAAAAGAATTTCTTTCTGGAAACCACATTTAAAGTCTCTACAATTACTAGCTACAACTGCTTTACTTCTTAGGCATAAGTGCTTTGGGGAGGAAATGTTTTAGATGTGCATCTCTATAGATACAGAAACTATTCCAGTCACACATGACCAGACAGGTTACATTTTTTTTCCCTGAGACAACACTAGTAAATATTTCAATACATTAGAGATTGTATATCATTGATTTGAGAGATTAAGTTAAAACAATTTAGCTGTGCTAGCTTGTCAGGGCAAGATTTAATGCTATGCTGCCTGGCTAAAGAGACACACAGAGAGGTTTATACGGAAAACCTGTTCTGTCAGTCAAACAGCAAGTACTACTCCAAAAGGCAGGAACCAGTATGCTGACAACCCAAGAAACTATCTTTTCATTAATGTTAAGATCTGCTAAGCCTGGGATGAAGCCTTACAACAAAAGCAAATAGGCATCATACTTTGATCCTTAGCTTGGTAGTTGTTGCAGGTCTCATCTGGAATGCCATGGTCATGGGCATACTTCCAAACACTGGAGTGGTCTCCGCCTTCACAGGATCCTGCATCGGCACAGTCAATCACATTCTGAACGGAGAGATAGGCAGAAGGCCATGCTCCTTTTCTCTTTATGTTGATTCGGTCTGTAACGATAAGAAATTGTATTTTGTTAGCAAAATATGTGAGTGGCTGCACACTGGAACTAGCATTAAAACTGTCTGCTTCATTGAACCTGTAACAGTCTGCAGGCAGCAGTACTTGTGGTTGGAAAAGCTCTACTGTCAACAGTGAGGCACAGAGCATGATCCAGCTCACATCAGCAGACTGAGCTGTTACTGTGGGTTTCCATGGGAAGTATTTTCCATTTAAACTCAGCAGAAAATATGCTGATGAGCAAGATCTGCTTAAAGCCCCAAGGTGCCCTAGACCTCTTTCAAGTCACAGCTTCTGAAACCTTCCAGATCCATTTCCTGGCTTTCACAAGCACATCGTCTCACTAGCCTCTTGTAGGTGAACTCAGGCAGGGAGACCTGAGCCCATGCAGCCCAGGTTTCTGGATCTGAGACAAGTCTTTCTTCACTGTTAGCCTGCCAGCCCAGACAAGCAGTGCCACCTGGCTGTCTTATTTTGCCAGAAACACCTAGCTCACCAGCAGATACAACTAGCTTACTTGGCAGAGAAGCTTCCCTGAGTATTTATAAACCACTTCTCACAGTGCATGAGCAGTCTTAACTGATGGCACTGTAGTACTTTTAATCCTATTAGTACTAACAACATTCAACTCTACTTGACAGGACTGGGAGGCATTATGGCAGCCTAGTCTTTGAGCAACAAGAAAAGGAACGAAAGCTTTAGCGGTTCATAGCAGTTTAGGAAAAAAAAATACCCTGGTTTTTTTTTTATCAACCTTTTATACTTAGAAAAATGCACATTTTGGTGTGCCTATCTATACAGTAAAGTCTTACCAGAAGTTATATAATTAAGGTGCTGTATTTTATCTGTCCTAGTACTTCGAGGTTTCATACGTGTCTATTCTTGTAGTGCTTAAGAACAGATCCTTCATGATTCCTGATGTCTGGTCACACCTGCGTTGTCTTCCTGGCTCTGCACAATTTCCTCTATTTCTCCTTCACAGTTAATCCTTTTACAACTCCCCCTGTGCAGGCAGTACCTCTGCAGCACAACTGTTGCATGCAAATCCGTATGTATTCTCTCTAGAGAAAGTAGTTATCCAACTGAAACAAACCCCTGCTTCCCTTTTCCCCAAGAAAAGGCTGATAGAATCTGCTGAAACAGATGTTCCTGCACACTGTGGGAGTCAGTTCATTTGGATGATGGAGCTCATGAAGCAAATGCCCTGTGGGCCCTTCCCAGGAGAGGCAGCTTCATTTGTTTCCTCATACCCAGGCACGGCTGGAGCAGCCCCTTGCTGCTCTGGGTATAGGAACTGAAAAAGGGAAGGGGACATAATAAATGCTTTTGCATCTGCTGCTACCATCACTGGGTGATGGGCAGAAACCCCACTTCCTGCTCCTCGCCCTGAACAGCGACATGGCAGGAGCCACAAGCGCATTTCTTGTGCGGAGTTTTATCCTTTTTTTTCTCTATCCAAACCAAACCTCTTGACCTTCCGCTTGGGAATTCCCGCGGCTGCCGCGTATCCCGAGGTCTGGGCCGCGCTCTGTGCCGCGTACCTGCCAGGGCGCTGGTGCTGCCGTGTGCCCAGCAGGACCCGCAGTACTGCGGGATGTGCTGGTTCCGAGTGGTGCTCGCGTAGTTGACGCCGTTGACGTTCCTCCAGTCCCAGCTCTCGGGGAGCGCGGACACGTC